GTTTTGGTTAACTTTGAATTTCCTTGCCTGGTTGATTTTGCTCGGTAAAAGGTTCGTTGATGGTTTTAATCAACATTGGAATTCCTTGCCAAGCGAATTTTGCTCGGCAAGAGATGTGTTGACGGTTTTGATTAACTTTGAAATTTTTTGCCGAGCTAATTTTGCTCGCCAAGAAATCTTACCAAGTTGATTTTGCTCACCAAAATGAAAGTTGGTGTTTTAATAAACTTTGGAATTCCTTGCTGATGCGGGTTTTGCTCGGCAAGAGGTTTGTCAATGGAATTTATTAAGCTTTGGAATTCCTTGCCAAAGCGAAGTAAGCTCGGCAAGAGAGAAACTTGGACCTTGCCAAAGCAGAGTAAGCTCGACAAGAGGAAAAGATAGGGTCTTCCCAACTTAATAAGTTCCCTGCGTATGACACATTGCACCCGGCAAGAGGAAAAATTAACCCTTGCAGAAGTAGATAAAGCCCAGTAAGCGGAAACTGGCCCTTGCCTAGAGCAGATTCAGCACGACGAGAGGGAGAGTTGGTGATTTGTCCAAATGAAGTGAATTCCTTGCCTAGAGCAGATTCAGCTCAGCAAGATGTAGAATTGACGTTTTGTCCAACTAAAGTTTATTTTTTGGCCTGAGTAGATTTAGCTTGGCCATAAGAAGTGTTGGTGTTTTGTCCAACTAAAGTAAATTCTTTTGTCTATGTAGGTTTAGCTCGGTAATAAGAGAGAAGATGATGGCCTGTCTATCCAGTCAGACCTATTACCAAAGCAAATTTAGCTCAGCCAAAAGCAAATTGCTGTTTTGATCAAATGAATACCTTACCGAAGTAGGTTAGCTCGGCAAGGCAAAAGGTGAAAATTTGTTTGAGATTCACATAAAACTCTGGACATAAGAGTAGTACCAAGACACCAGAAGTAAAATTTTCCATTATTCGAAGGGCGAAATGAAATAAAGTCTAAGCATGGTGGCAATGCTTATCATGCCAAGCTCATTTTTTTTGCTCGGTTTTGGGTAAACAGCTAGCCCGGTTATAGGGCACGCGATTCTCTAATAGGTCACAACTCGGTTTTTGTGCAAGAAATGCATTTCGGCCTTAGTTCCACTCGGCTTTCGAGCTAAGCAATTTCTAACTCGCTGTATTGGAACCATGGTGAACAGCTCAAGCAAATAACATTACTCGAATGCTTAAATCTAGATTTTTAGCCCGGTATTTTGTACAGTTGCGAACTAGGGGCAACGTTAAATAGCTTGACACCAGAACTAAGGGGAGCTATGGCACTATATTTAGCAAAGCTGTGTAGCTCGGTTTTCCGAACAACGGGGCTGAATCTTTTACTTGGTTTAAACTACCACTAAGATGCCCAAATACCGTGGCCCTGACTTTAGCTCGGCATAGGAAATGTGGTTTGCAATTCAGTTCGGTTTTTGCGCGGGGGGTAACGTTTTATCTCGGCTTGAGAGCTAAAGAAATTTAATCGATTCTTGGAACAAGTGTTGTTGCCTAAGAGGACATTAGCTTGGTATTGGAGGAAAAACTATATGTTCGGTTTTCAAAGCAGCGAGCTCGGTAACTCGATGGAAAGCACGGAGATGTTTTAGCTCGGCTGAGTGATCAAAATTGAGCAAGTAACTTGATCACCAATACATCAAAGAAATAGATTGCTTCCAAAGTTTCATGGTGGGACACTCCAAGAACACGTGACCGAGTAGAATTTCTTTCCCAGGACAAAACCGACTGATCAATGCAATAGGCAGCCTAATCTTTAGGAAGTGGGTCTGTCATGCATAAATTGACGAGGAACCTAATAACACGAGTTGTTCGGCCCTAAAACCAAACATGCACGACCGAGCTAAGTGGGTGTCATGCACAACCGAGCATGAATAGAACCAAAACATCATCACGACCAACCAACCAGTTTCCAGTACGCTGACCAGTATTAGAGTTGGACCAAAAGATTGATTTTTAAATCAATTTACATGCAAAATTGGTAACAATTTGAGCAAGCGCATGCATGGCCGAAAGAACAAACAAGTTGGGTGCAAGTCTAGATCCAAGCAATACAAGCACCCAGCAAAGTCAAAGAATACATGCATGCCATTACCATGCATGGCAAGCAAGGCATGGCCCACCAAACATTAACATATTAATTACTATGTTTATTGTTAAATAAGTGCACGGCAAGATATCCAGGTGCGGAAAATGCATTCCATGATTATGATATAAGGCTTGGCCCACCGAGCATTCCCTTTATAAAATTATTTAAGCTTTGAAAAATCAGGGCTTGGGCCCGCACTCATTCCACCAAATGCAAGAATGAAACAAATTGCGTCAGCAAAGGGCCGAGCTACACGGTAAGTGGTTAACACAAAAGTCGAAGAACATTTTGAAAATTTTTGAGCTACGAAGATTTGTGACAAAACTTGACCGAGCTATCATGAAGCTTGATGACAAACCAAGCTGAAATGAAAATTATACAAGAATAAAGTAATCCCAATCAAGTTACAATCGATGGGATTAAAGGGCAATTGAGTAGAATGGCCAAGCTATGTGTGTTCTTGAACGAGAAGTGTGGGCTGAGCTATGTGTGTAATTGAGGGAAATTTATACCGAACAAAGGACCGAATTACAAGTGGAATGGGCTGACCTAAGGATAGTTCGAGGTAATGGAACCATCCTCTGCATGGACCAAGCAACATTAGGCCGAGCTACGGTTGATTGGTTGGACAACTCAGAGTTAAGCCAATTGATGGAAGTTGGTAAACGGCCTTGCGTCGGGTCATGGGTAGCACGATAAGAGTCGTTGCGTGGCCCAATTGGATTGTGAGGAGGAAAACTTGACAATAGTACGCGTCAATATCGTTTGGCAGTTTGGCCAAATGTTGTTTGATAGTACTGACGTGTACACGTGTGAGTAATAGAGAGGGTAGTACAACCACGCATCCAGTAAAGGACGAGCAGAGTGATGTGCGCAGAGGCTAAACTATGCAGCGCCTCCATGCACAGGAGGGGAATTTTTGGTTATTAGGGCTATTTGTCTTTTGTCTTCTCTCTCTTTCTCTCTCTAAAAGGGTGCTAACTTGATCGTCAGAGGGGCTTCTCGGCATTACACCTGCTGGGTAGCTCACTGTCGTTATGTTCTCAAGTTATTCAGAGTGAAGCGAAACTTGGACACGAAGAGTACGGACAGCAACGAATATTTGTTTCCTGTACAATATCCTTGCAAAAACACATGAATATTTTCTTAGTATACACACAATTAATTATTTTTTGTCCTCTCTTTTTGATGACATTGTCTCTACAAGTCCAAAGTGTTGAAAGTAAATTATTTACCCTCCCACAAATGAGGAAAACTTGTTTAGGGTTCGTTTAGAAAGTGGGTTGACTTTTTGACTTTTTAGCTATGAGGCTAAAAATCCTCGTTTAGAATAGGCTTTTCAGTTTTTTTGACTTTTGTGAGTGAAAAAATGAAATGATTATAGGTTAGATGTGATATTTTGTCCTATTTGATTAAAATAGCTTTTTTTGTACTATATAACTACTTTAGCCCAAACACTCATTCCAAATGGGGCCTTAATTTTCACATTTGTTTTTTTGCATTTTCTAGTAATTTTGGACCTAACTCAATGTTACCCCTGTTTAAAACGACGAGATTAACCATTGTGTGTTGAGAAGTATTAATCTCAAATAGTTTTTAACATGCTACTATTGCATGGCTTAAATTTCGTTTTATGTAGAAATTTAACATGATTAGTTGGAAGAGACAAAACAATGAATGGACAAGACTCTTGAATGCAACTTGATAAATATACTTAGCACATTTCCTCAAAATAACTATGGTATAAATTGTGTAATTTAAATAAATTAAACAAATAGATTTATATTTAATTAAATTGATTTACATAATAAAAAATCATAAATCTAACTCATATTAGAGATTACATTTTGATGAACAACAATATATTTAACAAAACTTAAGGAAAAGAAAGCAAACTGAAACCTGTGTGATACCATAATTTTCTTAAAACAGATTCGCCGCCTCATCGTGGGTGCTAGAAGAGTGTCGGCATTTGTTTCCCAAAATACAACGGTATAGACTAGTTAACGCAGATGCACCTTTTGTTTAGCTCCATTGAATTGACAATGGAAGTACTCTCTCATACAAAAAGAAGTATATAAGATCAGACTGACTATATAGAATGGAAGCCAAAAATTATGTGCCTATGACCAAAGAGGAGGTCTCCTTTTATACACAATGGGGGAGAGAAGAAGAGTTTTTCCCTCACACAAGAAGTATATAGGAGCAGACTGATTGTATAGGATGGAAGTCAAAAATTTTGTGCCTATGACAAAAAAGGAGGTCTCCTTCACAATGGAAGGGAGAGAAGGAGTTTTTTTTTTGCAATAAATGCAGAATTCAATTTCTGCAAAATTGAAGAAGTAATGTATGAAAATTGATGGTGTAAATCATCATCTTAAGTGTATAAGTTACACACAACTAAAGAAGTAATACAGGAAAACTGATGATATAAATCACCATCTTAAGTGTAGAAGTTACACACAATAATATAGACATGTGTGTATATTTCTAGCCACCAAATAAACCTAGCCCAAAAAGATTAGGTTGATGGGCCGCCAATCCAGTGCAACCCAAACTTACCTCAAGCCTCATGATCCACAGACTCGGACCCAGCCTCGGCTTGGCCCGGGCGGGTGACAATTTTTGCATAATCAACTTGGATCATAATTTTGGCCTAAACTCATCCTTGAAGCATCCATAACTCCCTTTTTTCGAAAAATTTGGACACCCTAAAAGGCTCATGCCCTTGTCAAAAAGTTTAAACACCCATCAAAACTTTCCTTTACAATCAATGTGGGATTGGTAGTTATATACAATTCCCAATATCTCATTCATGAGGTCAATTTTATGAAACAATTTCTCATTCAATTCTTAATAGTTTTTTATAATTCTTTTTGTGGTATAAAGATCTTATTACAAAGAATCTAAACACACTTAGTCCCACCTCAACCAATGGTTAAGACCTACTTTAATTTCACATTAAAGTTACCATAAAATCATTTTTTCCAACAGTAACAACATGAAACATGCATAATACACAATTACATTTATGCTTGTTCGGCTTTTAATCCGGGTAGTATGACATTTTTGGTTCTGAATGATTGTTTTCTCGTAACTTCCTTGCTTTGGTGGCTACTATTCGTTAGGAAACTCTTATACCATTTAGCAGAAAGCTTTGGAATCCTTTTAAGAGTTTGACGATCAATGTAGTAGAGCCCGAACATCGGGCTGTATCCCTCTGCCCATTCGTAGTTGTCCATCAACGACCATACAAAATAGCCACGTACATCAGCACCGTCCCTATCAATAAAAACGACGCATCTTCAGCAAATCAGATTGTTGAGCTTTAAAATATTTTGACAAAAAAACATTTTGCGTGTTTCAGAGCGAAGCACGTTTTTATAGTTTTAGAGAATGCTAACAAGAAATGGTATTTTGTTGAGTGAATTGAGTGGTAATAGTCTCACCTGATTGCTCTGGCCAAAGAAGCAAGGTATGCTTTGTGAAATTCAATTCGCTTGTCATCGTGCAGCAACTCCTGCACTTGTACATCTTGCTTTCGTGGCGGTGAATACCCTGGAATCAAAAAAGAAAATGTAATTTTTTTTCTCTGTTTTTCTTCCTTTTGACATTTTTGGAACAAGAAGCAAGCACAATTGAGCCATTTTACTCACCATTTTCCAATATATACATAGGCATATTGTGATATCTTTCCTTAACGTAATTGACAATCTCCTCCATACCCCTTGGAACTACAAAAAATCTTGGCATCCCAGTCTGTTTCAAAAAAAAAAAACACACAAATAAATAAATGACAGTTATAAAAAAAACTTTAAAACTAGAGCATAAATTAAAATTTTCAAAAACTTCATACTGGATCCCCAATTGGAACGCCATTGCGTTCAATGGTAGTGTATACAAAGCCTCGGATAGGGCGGTCTCCGCCAAGGATGCAACTGGAATGAATGCAGTCCTGGGCATAGAAAGTTGAATAGTGGTTAATGCCAATGAAGTCGGTACTGCCTTTTACATACTCTGTTTCCTCTGCAGAGAAGGTAGGTAATTCATTCCCATGGTACTGCCTCATTTCTGGAGGGTAATCTCCGAATACTATGGGATCAAGAGCCCTGTTTCACAACATATAACCAGCTTCTCACTGAATAGATCAGACTAGAATGTAGCAATTTTAACCTTTCTTTGGTTATTTTACTTCTAGGGTTAATTAGACTTGGCACTCGTGATAGTTAACTTTACGTCTTAACAATTTAAGTCAAGTTATAATATCAGTTTTTCTATCAATTATCATTAATAAGGCTAATGAAATTTGTCATGCCAACTAAATGTGATTTTTTTCCATCTTATTAGCATTTCTGTACTTTTATCAAAATCTCACTAAGTCTTTATACTTTATTAAAATCTCACTTTGATTTCTTCACTTTTAATTTAACTTTAACAGTACATACACAAAATGACAATATTATAATTTTACTAAAAGTATAAAAAATTGATTGTTAAAATTGAAAGTAAAAGGATCAAAGTAAAACTATGGTAAAAATGAAGAGATTGTAAATTTTTTTCCTCTCAATATGCTGTTTTATTTTATTTGATCTTATTTATTTATTTTCTTATTTTGTTTTTCATGTAGACAATATATAATGTAGTGAAAATCTCAAAAATCAAAGGCCAAATAATCTAAACAACCAACCATCTGATATGTCCCATACAAATAAGGTCAATTCAACACCAATCAATTATTGAAATGGCTTACAGATCATAACATTATATTGAGGTCTATATGTCATTTTTGTGGGGTCATTGTGACAGAAAAAAAAAATTAATTATTAGACTGACATATTTATTCATGAAAAATCATAGAACTTACCAGGCAACATTAAAGGCCAAGGCCCTATTTACAGCATCGCGATCAAACTCATTTTCATTCAGTGGTTCATACATCATCGCGCTTACCACAAGTCCTATCACTCCCTCCTGTTTCGCCTGCATCACCACCCTCATTTTCCCAAATTAGATGATCAAAAACTCCAACTTTGTGGCTTAAACTGAGCAATCCAAGTTTGACTTGAAAAATTATAGAGTTTGTGTGGTATAATTTCAAATTTGGTTAGAATCTACGATAAAATTTGTTAACTTGAATTAAATTCGGACAAAGGTTGAGTATGGATTTTCACAATCTAAATTTTATTGTTAATATATATAAATTATCTATAATAAACATGAAATATATAAATTACATATTATTTTATCAATGCTTAGGTTAAATAATATTGCAGTGTAATATATTGATACACACAACTCATAAATTATTTTTTCCTTTTTATTTTCAACAAGTGCAATATATTATGTTTGGTTGAGTTTTTAAAATTTATTTTCATTTCTTTATTTTTTTTGAAAATTAGAATCTAGTTTGATAAAAAATACAAAAAAAGAAAAGAAAAGAAAGAAGATATATTTGCTTTTTCAAAAATTATTTTTTCCCAGAAAAGAGAAAAGTATATGAAAATAACGAATTTTTGTAATCTTTTCATTTTCTCACTAAAATAATGGAAGTTTTTAATAGTTTTTTGAAAAAAACTTTAATTTTTTTTTTTTGAAAACTCAATCAAATAATTTTTTTAAAAATTTGGGCAACCCAATTTTTGCCCAAATTCTTTTAATAAAATTCAGGCTCGTGCTCGAGCAAAAAATTTGGCCCAAAGCCGGGTCGAGCAAACTATTATAAACATTAAAATTGAGTCTAAACTAACCTGAACACACCCAAGTTACAGCCTAAATTAAACACTTATTGATTACCTGATAACTGTCGCGGTAGAGCTTGGCAGCCTTGGCATGGGAGAGTAACATGTTGTGCATCACGGTGAGAGGCTCTACATCAGAATTGCCCACAGAACAATTCCCAAATGGCTCTGAACAATGAGCTGGTGGATAATGCCCCCTTATGTATGCCATATCCGCAAACAAGTTTGGTTCGTTGATTGTAACCCAGTACTTCACTCGATCGCCAAAGATCTTGAAACAAGTCTCGGCATAATGGACATAATCTTCCCTGTACCAGCACAATACAAACACTCTCTGGGACTTATTTTCTTGGAAAATTTGGACTGAGAAAATCGGTTAGGAAATTATTGTGACAGTTTACAAGAAAATGAGAGTTGGGCATTACTGCATTTGGGGACTGAGCCAAGACCCATATCGGACCTCGAGTTCTTGGGGAAAATCATGATGGCATATCGTCACAAATGGCTCGATTCCTGCATTGGATTTGAAGAAGGTATGAGAATAAAATCTAAGATCCAAACACAGCGTGAAGGAAAAATTTGCAGAGTACCTTTGAGTAAGAGAATGTCTAATATTTTGTTGTAGAATGAGACCCCAGCTGCATTAATTTCACCAAATCTACCTCCTGATGAATCTCAAGAAGATCATTAAATCAGGTAATTTTGGAACTAAATAGATTATCAATAACTGAAAGATTAACTGTGGGACTTACTAGGGAGAATTCTGGACCATGAAATTGAGAATCTGTAGGCATTTATTCTCATAGAATGCATTATCTCAATATCTTCCTGCATTAATCCGAACAACATGGAACCTTTCTTTATCTCTTATTTTTCAAATTTTGAGTGAACAAAATAAAATAATAATAAACATAAAATCACAGACCAGGTAACGATGGTAATGATCATCTGCAATGTCTCCATTTTCTCCATTTACACTACCTGATAAAATATTTTTTTTAAAAAAAAATAATAATAACTATGAAAATTCAGGCATGTTGTGAGTAGCTTAGTTTTTATTTTATTGAGGATTTGGGTGATTGTTCAGACCTTGCCTGTGAGTGAAGACATCCCAGTTGCTGAGGCTCTTACCATCTTCAAGAAAAGCACCTTCAATCTGATGAGACAATGATATGAACAAGTCTTGAGACGATGCCACAAAACAGGAGAGCATTAAGAGTCAAAAAGACTTACTTGATATGAAGAAGTGGCTGTTCCAAAGAAAAACCCATCTGGGAATTGAGATCTTTTTATGTCTTCTTCATCTTCTTTTTCATTAAAGTTTCTAGATAAAGAATGGGAAGTGGAAAAACAGAGAAAGAGAAGAAAGCAGAGAGAGAACTGAGAACCGTTCACTTTCATTTTGGCTACAACTTTTTTTTGGTAATCCAAATTACATCTTTGTTGGTACCATTTATTAACCACATGGAATTTTTTATTTTAATTTTTTTTTGGTTGTCTTTTTGTTTTAAAACATTCATTATATCTCGAGATTATTACCTTTCAAAATTTTTAATGATCTAATAATTTAGTATTTTAAGATTGAAAAAATTGAAACAAAAGATCTTTGGCCTCTAGTATGGGGAAAGGGTGTGGAAGCATAAGAAAGTGGAGTAATTTGTGATGTCGAATTATTGTCTAGTTTGAATTTTTCTTTGCATATTTGTTTAAATACATATATGGGAATAATTGGGAAAAAAAATATGAAAACTAATTTTTTATTTGAATAATAGTGACATTGAAAATTATCAGTGATAATTTTATTTTATAATTCAAATAAGTTAAATTATTTGCTTTGTATAATAGCATAAAAGGAGAGTAATTAACACATTCAAAACTCATATATAAAAATAATATCATGCGATTCAGATTTCACAATCTGACATGCCTAAAATTATTTTAATATTAAAAATAAAAATAAATAAAGTTATGAAAATCCTTTCGAATCTTTAAATTATTACTGTTTCTTGATAACATAAGGCCCACAACTTAAATAATCTAAATTATTTGGATGATTATTATTTTATTGAAATATTTTATGTGTACAGTATTTGACTTAATAACATTTCTCATTAAAAAAAGTGACAAGTGGGGTATATGCTCTCTCCACCGTGAATTAAAGGATTCTTCTAATTAAAGTTATAATAAAAATATAAAAAAAAAAAAGCCTGCAAAATGCTGTTCCTTTTTCTAGGGATTCAGCAAATAATTACAATATTTTATCGTAGTACAGCAGTGTGTTTTTTAGAGAGTATGAATTTTAAATTGTGGGCCCAACGTTTGAATTCAACTCAGATTATGGATAAAAAAAATGCAAATCCTCTTGTTTGAGTACCAATCAATGTGAAACACCTTGCCTAACCTTGCAAAAACAGAACATTTTTTTTTTCTTCAATTCTCATGCATCACTTGTAAACATGATCAATAGTTTGGATATTAATTTTGGATCATGTTTTAAATCATTGGCATAGTGGGAAGTTTTACTAATGTGACATGGTACTCATATTTGCTAGATAATTGAAAAATACGAGAGAATTTACTTAATGCATGCTATAATTTTCCATTTAGGTAAATAAATGATCTCCTAAAAGTGCAAATGGACGAAATGTTTGCACATTTCTAAATAATAGTGATATTTGGTACAGTTTATAAGGGTAAATTAAACTGACTTTTCTTGAGATTACTGAACATTATAAAGATTTTTCTTGGGGTTTCTAAAATAACACTTACCTTTCCTGTTCGTGTCATTTTTTACCATTTTACCCTTCACTTTACAACATTGAATAATGAAATAAAAGTAAGACAAAATAAGACACAAATTATTTATCTGATGAACTCTAACCAACAAATCCACAATGAGGATCCTTTAATTTTCTTGATGTTGAACGAACAAACGCACCCAATTTGTTTTCCCCCTATATCTCTTTTCCTTCATTAATAATTATCAAAGCCAATGTGAGACAATTGGTGAGGCAGGTGATGAAGGGCTGGATGAGGCGATTGGAAAGGGAGTAGTGGCGGTGGAGATCGATTTTTGTCTAAGGAAGAAATCATGGGAGGAGGAATTCATAACTTTGAAAGGTCGAACTGTGATGGTGAAGATCGATTTTGGTTTGAGGAAGAAATTGTGGGAGAAGGAATTCACAACTATGAAAGGTCAAACCGTGATGGTGGAGATCAATTTTGGGCTAAGAGAATAGAGGCGTAGAAGGTGTAAATGCAGACCATGGTGGTCAATAATGTAACGCCCCAACTTCTGGGTAGTTAAATACGTACACAAGTAGGATAGATAACCAAAATATCTTAATATACATATATAACCAGAGTTAATATCACAAATAATTCGTTTATGTTCCATTACAGGATTACCAATACATTGCCAAACCAAAAGTCAAAAGGAAAAAAAACTACTAGTCTAAGTTTTCATATGAACCGCAGCTCCAACACTTTATCTTATTTGCCTTCGAAATAACCTTTAGTATTGTAAACAGTTTCATCACTTGGCATAATACGCCATGAGTTTGGAATGGCTAATAAAAAGACACACACCCCCATTTCTTTTATCAACCAATCAACCATACACAAAACAAATTGGGTAACCGTTGGCTTTTTGGCTTTCGAAGGTTATTTTTGTAATTATGAGCGTGCCAGCAAGGATCAATCAGTCCTTATAGAAAATTAATTGTCAACCAATTATCAGACGATTGTGTTTTAGTTCTTTCAGCCTCAATAAAGAGGACTTTTACTGATGGCTTGATTTAGGAGAATTAAGCAAATAACAATTAAATGAAGAACAATTGAAGCATTTCATTAAAATAAAAAACTTGCAATGATCCAATTCAGCCTCGTAGAGGTTTACAGCAATAATTTACTTGAAACTACTCCTATGAACGAAGTGCAGTGCAGGAATTTTAAAGTACAGAAATTTAAAGAATAAAAAATGTAAAACTGGAAATGTAAAACTTGAAATAAAGTAGAATAAGACTGGTTTTTTGGATCTGAGTCTGGGGGTTTTTTCTGGGGTCTTCTCTGCTATTTATACTTCTTTACTTGAAACTACTCCTATGAACGAAGTGCAGTGCAGGAATTTTAAAGTACAGAAATTTAAAGAATAAAAAATGTAAAACTGGAAATGTAAAACTTGAAATAAAGTAGAATAAGACTGGTTTTTTGGATCTGAGTCTGAGGGCTTTTGCTCCCCGTACATCTGCTATTTATACTTCTCAAGGATGACCATCGAATTGCATTTCCAACCGTTGAACTGCTCCTTCATGATCGCTGATCATGTTGCCTTATAATTAGCTCCACTCTGCCATTATTTGCAGTTAGGCTTCCCTCCTAATTTTGAATTTGAATGTGAGTAACCGTTGAAGCCACATCACTTTGCATTTCTTTACTGATCCAATGCTACTCAGATCTCGTAATAACGAATACTAACTGCCACGTGTACGATCATGATCGAAGACTTGAATAGTTTTCCTGTATTACCCTTATTTTGCCACGCGTCGAATTATAATTGGCTTATACAAAATATGTAGCCAGCATTACCCCCCGCACTAATATACCCAATACTTGGTAATATTAGTGGATCAAGGTCTTTTATCCACGTCTTAGAACGTGCATGGGCTTTGCATTCTTCTAGAAATGCAACCGTCATTCATCATTTGCATTAAACTCTTTTTTAATCTTTTGAACACCCCACCACCTTAGTATTCGAACAGACTGATACATTTTTATGGCCAAATCAATTTTCTCCTCTATTGATCGAGCACACGAATAGTCATCTGATGATGTTGTTCCTCTTCGAAAGAACCTCCATGCATTTATTAGCCACCTTTACCCACCTTCCTATATTTAAGTCATGGAAGCCTTTGCACATTGCCATCAATCCTTTGATTCAGAAAGTTACAAATATGGACATGGAAAATTTTTCTTCTGATTCACCCTTGGACTACGAACAAACTACCCTCAATCCTTTGATTCAGAAAGTTGCAAATATGGACATAGGAAGTTCTTCTTCACAACCCTCTGCATGGAATAAGGCTGTGGCTTCTTCTTCCTCTGGGGCTTCTGACTGGACAAGCTGGTCAGAACTTGAGGCCTGTGATTTAAGGGAGCGAATTAACCATCACTTTGTCGAGTTCACTAACCCTTTAGAGTTTCCTTCCTATGCGCGGAGCTCGGTGGTCTATCCTTATGTGCCCATCGACCGCCTACGCAGTTTAAAGGACAATCTGCTTGTAGCATGGTACACATCCTTCATGCCTACAAAGATAGTGCATGTTACCCGACGCCCAGAAGAGGCACAAGGGTACAACCCATCATTCTTAGCCTAAAAGGTGAAGCTTTACTCTTTTGACTGGCTCGATTATATTAATGCCCTTGTTCTTTCTGCCCTTGTTCCTTCTCCCGAAATGGAAGCTTCTATACCTCCTCCTCCGTCAAATCCTTGCTGGACAGAGAGATTGAGGCTTGCCCTCTCTGCGGATAAGGTCTTTCCTCCTTACAAGCCTCCACCTTCCCCACTCCAGCTGAGCGGAAGCAAGCCCAACTTCTGCTTGCGGCCTTCTCTTACTTGCCTTTCAATGTTCTTGAGGACGATGTTCCTCTCAAGAACTTTCGATGGGCTTGTGATATTCTGACTTGGGATCACGTCCTCAACCCCCTCACCCAAGCAGAGCTTCACATGTTTTTGGACCAACTCCTATTGCTTCTTCACTGGCATCGGACTTCTGTGGCCATCACTCAATCTTTGGACCAACTCTCATTCCTTCGAGTTCATGCCCAGTACGAAGCAGAGAACCTCATTGAAGAATTCGATAACTTCAAGAATAAAGACTCTACGTACTGGGATGACTTGGATATGGACGAGTTGGAACAAGGATTGAGAGAAACATCGTTCGAACTACAGGCTGAAGAGTTCTTTTATGAAGTGAGAGCACATCAACTTCAGTAGCCAATCCTAGAAGAAATCGAGGATAGAATAAAAAAAGAACAGAAATTCATTGATCATAGCTGGACCAAATTTTGTGATCTTGTTATTTATTCTATTCCTTACTTTTATGAACTTGAATTTGTACCCAAAGATGACCATTCGATATAATTGCTTTTGCTTTAATACAACTAAGACTTTTCTCTTTGTTTGGCATTGTTTGATCTTGTCCCCGTTCAGCTTTAAAAGCAAACTTAGGGCTTCGAACTGAACAATCTCATCCTTCGAATCTGGACTCAATCGTTTTAAATGAAGTACTAAAAAAAACTAACATGAATTTTTCCAATTTATGGAATAAAGTTGATAGTTTTGCTGATTTTCATTTAGAATTAGTGCTTCGAATTTAACAATCTTACCCCTTAAAGCTTGTTTTAATCATAACCAACATATGGTCATGGTTAGTATGATCAATCAGTTT